ACATAGATGGGCACATAACCCACCGTGTGGCTGGCTAAGAGGCAGTGGCAATGTGCGCTGGGGTGGGGGTGGAACAGGCAGTATAGTCTACTAGGATTTATGAGGGAGGAGTCAGGGATAGGATTAAGGGCAGGAAGTCTATCCCAGAGGAGTCAGAGACACCTACTGAAATTCCAGCAACTAGCAGTTCAACCAAGTGATAGCTTTGAGAACGTTGAGGGGTAGATGTGTGAAGCAAGCAGGGGCCAGAACAAGCAAGGCCTGGCTAACCACAGAAAGTTTACCTGGACGCAGAGGGTAATGGAGTGCCACTGAACGTTTTTAAACAAGGAATGATTGATTTCAGATTTTTGCTGTGGGCCAGTCTCTCTGGTCTTGAACAAGAGTCACCACAAACCAGGTACTGGCGATTCTCCCATCCCCAGCAAAACAAAAAGAACCCTGCAAAAGACTATCACAATCTCCTCTAACGTTCTGTGTTTTTTTTTTAAATAAATACAATATTACATGAAACACACAGAAGAGACATAACAACATGAACAACTTCAACTGCAGAAGAAACCTAATCGTATAGCCATTGTAACAAGGCTGAACTGTGTACAGTGAGACCTAACTGTGAGGTCAGACATTTCTCAAAGTTGTGTCTAAAGTTCAGTATTTTCCACCAAGAATCTAAGAAAAAAAATTTGTTCAACAACAACAACAAAAAAGAACCACACCACACCTCTTTACAAGGGCAATGTCAATCTGACAGCTTCAGAGTCTGCCAAAATGAAGTCTTAAAAATGGAAAATAGAGTACTAGGCTTCCAGAGTAAATAATCCCAAATCCACAGCATTTACTATATGGCAGATTTTATTGGTTAATGAAACCATTACACTGTTGATGTTTAAAATAGCCAGGTTTTCTAATCATGCCATACCAACCTGTTTTTCTACTGTAACTTCAAAATTCGTTTGTATTTCTGTATTTCCCTAAACTTCTATAATAAAGAACTAATTTTATAGTTAGAGAACGACACTTAAATACTAGGCCTTCATTGCAAACCAGTCTAGAAAAGGCATACACCTTATTGACCAACCATGCCAGGTAAAGATCTACTTATACTCTGAGAATAACAGCAGCTCATCCAGAACTGTAAAACTATCCAGTTAATGCCCATTATTGCGTTTCCTCATCTTCTCAGGGACCACCAGTGCTGGACACCTCTTACTACAATGAATCAGATCATCTCCAATTACATTTTCACCCACAATACAAGCAGGATAAATCTAGCCTAACATCTAAAATCTACTCAACAGACTGGCTGGGCATTTGTTTTTTGTTTATTTTCTCCAGTCCAAAGAAGAAATTATGAGCTATAATCAGCATCCTGGTTCCACTGCTGATTTACTGGGAGAAATTGGATAATCACTCAAAACATTCCATTCCACCCGTAAGCCGCAAATAAAACACACCAGAGGCAGGCTCATGACTCCCAGATGCACCAGGCACTCGGACACACGGACAAAAGGCCTCATCTAGTTGATTCTTCCCTAGAGATAATGTTTACCTCTATCATACAGACCCACGAAACCAGTCCTTTTATTAAATAGGCAGCTGGATCCCAAGTAAGCATTTATATACCAAAATACACAAAAATAATCACTAGTTAAGATTTCTACTAGCCTTTGGATTGGTTTTTAAAAGAGGGCACAATAATGAGGTATCTACACACCTATCAGAATGGCCAAAATCCAAAACAATGATAACACCAAATTCTGGCAAGGATATGGAGCAAAAGGAACATTCATTCATTCCTGGTAGGAATGCAAAATGGTACAGCCACTTTGGGAAGACAACTGAGCAGTTGCTTAACAAAAGTATTCTTACCGTACAATTCAGTAACTGCACTCTTTGGAATTTACCCAAAAGAGCTGAAATCTTCTGTCCACACAAATCCCTGCACACAGATGTCTTGTGCAGCTCTACTCTAAATTGCCAAAACTTGGAAACAACCAAGTCCTTCAGAAGTTAATGGATAACTATGAAGACAGTAAAAAAGATCAGTGGGTGCTAGCTTAGAGAGGGATGAAAAGGCAGAGCACAGAGGAGTTTTAAAGCTCTTGCTCTGCTCTGTATGATGACATAATGGTAGATACATGTCATTATACATTTGTTCAGCCCCCCAGAATGTACAAACACCAAAATGAACCCTAATGTAAAGTATGGACTTTGGGTGATTATGATGGGTCAAAGTTGGTTCATCAGCTGGAACAAATGCACCACTCTGGTGGGGAATGTTGATAATGGGGGAGGGGAAGGGCAAGGGGTATATGGGAAATCTCTCTACCTTCCCCTCAATTTTGCTGCAAATCTAAAACTACTCTAAAAAAATAAACTGTTTAAAAAAAAAAAAAAAAGAGCCACACTCCTCTATCGTGTGGCTGATTAGCAAAGTACCTTCCTGAACATATTCAGGGAAAAGGAAAGACAGTCAAGATCACCTTCAGTGCTCAAGAATATCAAAGTTAATATTGTAAGCAGAGGAACTAATAAAAGCCAGGAAAGCAAGTAAAAGGATTATGACACCATCTTCCCTTTAAATTAACTACAAAAATCTAGCAAGGTCTTCATTGAATTGAATATGGGCCTGATCACAAACTTTCTAGGCAGCTACTAACAAGGGCTATGTTTAAGTTAGAGTTGTTATGAGTTGTACAGCTAAGCCTTGACAGAAACTACACCACAGTATTGTCCAATGGACTCCTTACACCCACAGACCCATTTCATGTAGTCACACATATTTCTCCTCCCAAATTACATACCTGAGAGGTCAAGCCCACTTCAACACAACCTGGGTCCAAAATTCTCAAAAGCTTTTAAAGGCATCTCTTCTCTGCATTTGCCTTAGTAACAACTGTCAAGTACTAAGGAACCAGGTAAGCCACAAGCATTTTTGTCTCCCTGAATATATGAATTAGAGATTAAAGAACTGAGCAGATTTTGGTACTTGTAGGCTGTCATCTAAAACCATTTTAAAACTCTACTCAGTACAGCCACATTTCACAAAGTATATTTGGTTGGATGTCAGTTTCAGCTGAGGGTAAGTGGTAAGAAATAAAGCCACCACCTTACACGCTCCTCAAACCAAGTGTTCAGAAGGTCTCTGATCTTATATACCAGGAATGAACATGTTTGTCCATGCAAAGCCAACGTGTTTGTGTACAATTTACACACCTACTTATAATATGGTCAACTGTCAAACAGATACCCTTTCATAGTATCTCCACCCTCTCTCCCAAACAAAAACAGCCTGAATTGCTCACTTTATGCAAGAGGCTAGAGATTCTGTTTCATATAAGTTTTACTACTTTCTATGGTTCACATTCTCCAAGAGGCTAACCCTCTGATTTACTAACTCAAACCTTAAATAAACTGCTTCCATCAACTTCCCCCTCTTCTCAAACCCCTACTCAGCAGAGGCCCCCCTCTCTCTCTCCGCCAAGAAAGCTACAGAGAAGGCTTGGAAGTGGCTGCCTCTGCAAATTCCTCCCTCTTCCTACCAAAAGGGCACTTCAAGAACTTGACAGTCTGGAAACACATGAATGTTGCTCCAATGCCATTCACTAGGACGGGATTTGAGCATGCAAAGTGTCTTTCTACAATCAATTTCTATTTATGCTGCCAATCACACTGAAACTTTGGTGGAAATCTGCTTCCTAAGCAAATTCAGAATGCCATCAGGTCCCACGTATGAGCATACACACCCAATCACACATACACACTCACTTCTCTGCTGAAGACTTTCTGGCACAGGGGCATCCTAAACTTGCCCCATTTCATTTCCAGACTGTCATCTTTGATCCATTCCTAAATTCGTGCCTTTTTCTCCATCTGAAGGTTCAGTCTAATCAGCTATGGTGCTACATCCCCCTGATTTCTTGACATTTTCTTCTCTGCTCCTGCCTGGAAACTGTTTTGATCTGAATAGAGTTGTCAGTATGGGGATTCTGCATGTTAATGATGTGGCTAGCTGGCAGGGATATTAGGTGAGTTTTGTTTCGCCTCATCACGGCTATCGTGGCCTTTCTAATCTCCGGCCTCGCTAGGAGGGAGACTACACACCTAATCTTACCCTCTTCGGGTGAGCCTCGGGCACCAAGTGGAAACAGAACAGTCTGTTCTCTCAAGTATCTGGACTCAGGGGCTAAATATCCCTTGACACTCCACCACCACTGAAGCAAACACAGACACATCCCGCTCGGCATGGGGGTCAGTCGATACCCTTCACCACGGCTTCTGCCTGTCCAAGCTGCACACCCTTCACTCTGTCCAGGTTTCATGCAAGATGCTGCATTCTCCCGGCTGTGCACTGCCGCTGTCACCCCCCCACCCTCAACCCCAACCGAGGAAAGGGCTTCCAACGGAGGTGGGAGCATCAGCTCCGGTACCCGCCCTTCCCTCTCAATCCTGGCCAGAAAACTCCACTTCCCGGATTCCCAGCCACTCTCTCCCGCCCCCTCCCCGGGCGATCAAGCTAGCGCCTTACTGATGCCAGCGAAGTGCCCAGCCCAGCTACGCAGCCCCCGCACCCCAAGGTAGGCCCCCGGAACCGACTCCGGCTTCCTCCTTCTCCCACAGCCTAGGGGTCCCCAGATTCTGGACGCACCCCTCAGGCACGCTATGACTGAAAAAAGTCCCACCCCGCCCCCCAGCCACGCCACCAGCCTCCAGCACTGCCCGGGAGGGGCCTCCTCCCCAGTGGCGAAAAGAGAATGTGGGTGGTTGTCCCAGCAGCTTTCTCCCGCACCCCGCGAGGGGCCTGACCCGCGTGGCCCCAAAGGGACACCTCCCTCTCCCCGACCCTCCCGGGGGCCAGCAGTTCTTGGCAGAGTGTACTCGCTGCGGGTCCCCAGGAGGCTCAGGGAGTTCGGGGGCTGCCGGGTCCAGGTGCAGCCTCTCCCCGAGGCGGGCAGAGGTCCGCGGCGCCCCCCCCACCCCCCGGAGGGGGCACTCACGATGGTCACGCTGGCTTTGCGCAGGTCGCGGTTCTCCTCCTGCAGCGCCTTGCACTTGAGTTTGTAGGTTTCCAGCTCGATCTTCAGCACCTTGTTCTCCTGCTGCAGCGAGGCCAGGCGGTTGGTGAGCTCCTCCAGGCGGAACGGCGAGATGACAATGCCCCCCGACTTCCCACCGCTGCCGCCTCCCCCGCCGCCGCTGCCGCCGCCGCCGCCCGAGGTCGACGAGCAGGACGACTGCATGGCGGCCGAGCTGCCGCTGTTGCCCCCCGCCCCGTCCGTGTCGCTCTCGCTGGCGCTGTCCGCCATGGCCGCGGCGGGCTGGGGAAGGGAGGAGGAGGAGGAGCAGGGAGGCGGCGGCGACGAAGGCCGGGCTGCGAATGAGTGGGCGCCGGGCGAGCACAGGGGAGCGCCGAGCTGGGCGCCTGGCAGCAGGGCGCAGACTCGGAGCGGCGGCGAGAGAAAGAGAGGGAGCTTCCCGCTGCCAAGGGACCTCCTCTGCCAGAGAACAGAGACCCCGCCCGGGCTCGGGCAGTACTGCACTGGGCTCGCTGCAGCCGGGCCTGGCGCGCTCGCTAGGCCGCCCTACAAAGCTGGCCGAAAGCTCCGGGACCCGCCCGCCGCCACTGCGGAGGCCCGCCTCCCGGCGCCTGCCCGCGGGCCAGGGACGCGCGGGCCGGGCGGGGGCGGGAAGGCCAGGCCGGCCCCCGCACCAGCTGCGCGCCGGCCGCACGTGTTCAGGGCGAGGGCCTCCCGGCCCGCAGACCCCAGCCCCCGGCCGCCCAGCCTCTTCCGGGCTCGCGCCGGCTCCCGGGAAAAGGAAACCCAGTGCCGCGCTAGCCTCGCAGGTGCCGGGGACACGTGGAAAGGTCACGCCGGCTCCCGCAGCCAGCCGTGGCCGCGCCGGGGCCCCGTCTTCTGCCGACTGCGTGTGCTCCTGTCTCCCTCTGTCTGTTTCAAAGACACACGCAGCCCTTTCAGTTTTATCTTCTCAGATAGCTTTGCTGGGCAGCCTAGGGTAGCGCTAAAAGAACAGAAAGTTCCCCTGCCAGGAGCCCAAGTGGGGTGAAACTACAGCAGCCACAGGTTCACCCCGTTAAGACGGAATTTGCGGAAGAGACCTGCCACTCTCTTTGCTCCTCCTAATAATCTCATAAACCACACTGTGCTCAATTGTTTAAACAAGGTGCAACTTTCTTTTCTTTTCCTCTTTGCATCTTGAGAACAGTGCCAGGACGTGTCACGCAAGAAGATTAAGACACTAGCATTTATCTAATCCAAAAAGAAAAAAGAAACACTTTCTGTGGATTAAGACCCATCTCTTTAAGTGCCAGTTTTCGAAAGTAACTGCAGAGAAAGCATTATGCTGTACAAATAATGATGATTAAGTGGGAATACAGCATAACCATCACCCTTTTTTACTATCATCTTGCCCACTTCTAGAAAACTTTAATACGTTAAAAATAAAGCATTAATTACTCTAATGCTAATGTGATCTAATTCAGGGTTCTAGCTTTGAGGCATAAGAAATTCAAAATCGAACCTTTTATTCCCCTTCTTCTCTCCCAAAGAAAGGCTTGCAGGAAATCTCAGCAGGTGAGATGATTCTAAACATCTTTAAACTGTTGACACAAAACAACTTTCACATATGTATAAAAATTGGAAAGTGAAACTGACCAGACTAGTTATCACCAAGCTTAGTCAAAGGAAGAACAAACACTTGGAAACAGAAAATAGGAAAGAAAAAGGGAAAAAAAAGTGTGAAAATGTTCTATTGCTTTGAACTTTTGGAAACGTTTATAATATGCTATGAAAGATAAAGAGGTGGATTTAATGACTTTTATTCCCACTCCTCTGTTATCTTTAAACCCAAATTTGATCTAGTGATTAAGCTGTTATTCAGTGGCTAATGGAAACTGGTACCTTGGAATAAACTAAAACTCCCAAGTGTTCCAAATGACATCATCTTTTACCAAGATGGCTGCTTCTGGCAGACAGCTGAGAAATGCCAACTACAATTAACCCCCAGATTTTCCCTACTTATTTTTTAGTGCTAAAGGACTTCTGAACTTAGTCACTGGTGGTGTGGCAAGAGAAAAAAAGAAAAAGAATTGGCTTTGCTCTAAAGAGATATAGCCAATGTAAATTGTTAGAAGTGATTCAGTGTAATTTTAATTGAAACTTTTTTCTCTCACTTTTCTTTTTAAGGATCTGGTACTAGAGACCAGCAGCTTGTTAAATTAGAAACCGCTTCTGGAAAACTGACTTGCTGGATGAAATGGAAGACTAAAGCTAGCAGGGAGCAGCACCACAGGGAGAAACTCAGATTTAACAGCATTCTTTCCGCTTTATTCAGCAGAGTGATAGAATCTTAGAGCAGGTCTGGCTTCCACACTTCACAAATTCCTATTGTTCTCTATCCCATAGTATCTTAAAACTTCCACTTTTAGAGCTTATTGCAACAGAAACATTCCTTCCAGGCAGAGCAAGGGGCAAGTTGGCTCTCTTTTAGCTTTATCACCAACTAACTGCTTCTGAAAGACCGACAGACTCCTTCAAGTCAGCATAGGGGTGGGGTTTAAAGTGCCTGACTTTCTTAAAGGGCCCACGTTATGGTAAGCTTCTAAATGTTTTGGTCTTGAAGTGGATGTGGAGGAAAACGGCATTTTGGCATGGTGTTTGTAGGCAGTAATTGTGTTTAGAAGACTTTGGGGGAAGCCATCTTCTAAAGCTTCCCTGCTGATACAGATGGGAATAAACTGGGGAATATTTTTTCATTGTGGTTTTTATTGTTATTGCAAAGCAGAAGCGTGTCTAATTTTCTACTTCTTGTAAAAGTGATTCCCCTTATAAACAGGCCATTTATCACAACATTGGTTCAGTAATAGCATTACAATGGAAACACTAGTTACAAAACCAATAATATCATTATAAAACTCCTCAGCTATCTAGGGGAAATGAATCAGAAGAATAGATGGCAGTGTGTGCTGCCTGGAGGAAGAAGGGACAAATTAGGATAATCACTTCCATTGGAGAAATAATGACATTTACCTTTGCCCTAAATTCAAGCTGCAAAATATAACAACAAAAAAAGAATACCTTATAATCTAACTGCAAGGCACAACGTCAAAATCTTTCTTTGTCTAATGCCATTTGTGCAGTTGATTTACCCTATGGTCTTGAACCTTCCAATAGTAAAATTAAAATTATGGAAATTTTGCTTAATTGTTTATTGCTATATAAATTGCTGTACATATTTAGCTATATTACTGTCACATACTATTAATTTCATTCAAACTCTGGATGGATTTGGTGGTTGCAGGCCCCCTTGTTACAGTTTTGAAAAGAGCTGGAATGAGCCAAGCTCATGAGATGGCTATTACAGAGTGCCAGAATTTGGATAGAATCATGAAGAATGGGCCACTATGGTGTTATCATTTCTTGAAATGTAGTTGATATTGAAATATATCTTGTTTATTGAAATATAGCTTTGATTTAGAGGCTAACTGTAGTCTCTGAGTCTAACACAGGGCTTCATAACCTTGACACTATTGACATGTGGATCTGGAACATCCTTTGTTGGGGGTTGGGGAGGTTGGGGTTTGGAGAGTGCTGTCCTGTGCACTGCAGGATGTTTATTTAGCAGCATCCCTGGCCTCCACCCACTAGATTCTAATAGCATGCCTACCAAAAATGTCTCCAGACATTACCAAATATCCCCTGGAGGCAAAAGTGCACCCAACTGAGAACCACTAATCTAGTAGAACAATTACTTCTTCAGGGCAAAAGCAGACCCACTTTGGAGTGGGTTTTCTAGCAACACATTGATTACATACCACAGAGTTTTCAAAAGAGTCTTCTTGGCAAGTGATATTTCCAGTGTCACCTAACCAGGAGATCCTGGACCCAAAGGACCACAGCCACACTTTATGATTGCTTATCTTCAAACACCCCATTTCTTTAACATGCTTTTTAAATATTTTACTACTTATTGATGTCAAACTAGTCTTGCTATCCAGCATCCCACCCTGGCAAGAAACCATGACTACGAGATTAATTACATATCTGATCTCTAGCCTCCTGTTTGTGTTCACTCATTACTGGGTGAATGAAACAAATCATTTCTACAAATGGCAGACAAAAGAAGTGTGTCATCAGCTGAAGTAAATTAGATGAGAATCAAGTAAGAATTTCAACAAAAATAAGGGGCGCCTAGGTGGTTCAGTCGGTTAAGCATCTGACTTCGGCTCAGGTCATGATCTCATGGTTCGTGGGTTTGAGCCCTGTGTCGGGTTCTGTGCTGACAGCTAGCTCAGAGTCTGGAGCCAGCTTCAAATTCTGTATCTCCTTCTCTCTCTGACCCTCCCCTGCTCACGCTGTCTCTCTCTCTCTCTGAAATAAATAAAATACTAAAAAAATTTTTTTTTAAGAATTTCAACAAAAAATGAAACATACGACTTATATATCTGGAAATTTGGCAACCTACAAAACCTAAAATTTGTCTTGACACAGATCATACTGAATTGCTGACCTAGAAATTCTTCTTAAATGGTACTAAATACAGAACTAGAAAGAAAGTAAAGGGAAATCCCAGGTTCCAAAGCAAAGAGGAAAACTAGAAATAACCCAAATGTCCACCTACAATGTAAATCCTGTTATATTCATGCAATGGAATAATATACAGCAATGTGAATGAGCAAACTACAGCTACATGAATGAAGCAACATGAGTTGCTTGGTGAAAGAAGCCAGACACGAAAGAGCATATGCTGTATGAATGCAATTATACAAGGTCAAAAAATGGGCAAAATTAATCTATGAGGTTAGAAGGCAGAATAAGGATGCTCTTTGGGAGGAGATGGCGTTTGGAAAGGATACTAGAAGATTTCTAGTAATGCTCTTTTTCTTTATCTGGGGACTTGTTATGTAGGTATGTTCTCTTGTGAAAAGATATTGAGCTATCTATTTATGACCTATGTAATTTCCTATATGTATCTTGCACTTCAGCAAAATGTATTCATCACGAAAGAGGAGGAGTGAGGCAGCCAAAACTGGGACAGCAGCTTTGTAGGTCTTGTTAAATATGATGTTTGAGTTTAATAGCCATCAGGGACAGAATATGAGGATGTGTGGCCATACCAGGAAGGAAGATGTAACTAAGTTACCTACAAAATGCCAGATAGTCAAAAAGCTACACAGCACTGAAAGTCTTCCTACCAGCAAACAGAAAGACAAAAGGGGATGTTTCAGAGTTAAGAAAAAAAAATCTTTAGAAAAGTTATCATCTAAACCTAAGCCTCATGAAGTTAGGGACTTCACTTATATACTTATACTACTTACATGGTCCAAAAGTCCCCAAGCTAACATAGTATCTTAAAAGTTGGGGTTGCTTGGGAAGTTTTGGGGTGATG